TTGACCCCGCCGGGGTCATACGTAATTCGCATAACGGCTCCCCCCCCCCTTTCAAAATCCTGGCTACGTCCCTGCCAAGGACACAATGGACTTGCACAGCGAGAGTTTCGAACCCCTGACCTCAAGGTTGGGAATCAAAGCCACAACCGATGCGCCAACCGTTTCTAATCCTCCATAATTACTTTCACTCCTCAATAATTTTTAACTGCAACATAATTTTGCGATCACTATTTTAACCTCTTTCTTTTCCTGCTCGCCATTCCCATGGGGTGGTACCGGCGGTGTGGGGCCATAGAAAAGAGTTGCTCTCCCTAGATGTGTATAAGAGACATTCCTCATTAGAAAAATTGGCCTTGCTCTCCGTCATCACAGTCACCTCGTCTTAAAAATCAAGTATCCTCCCCCACTCTCCACTCGGTTAATCAGTGCACTATCTTCTTACCTTTCAAAAGCCATGAAGCCCAGCATTATCATTATACCTCCTAGTAGCGTATCTACATGGGTGTGAGTAGAGGGGAACACGCCAATACAAACTTGTTCCCCCTGTCACACCACTGGAAATTTGCCGAGAAAAAAACACATGCTCACAAGCAGTTTAATTTACACCATTATTAACCTTATCTTTCCAACTAGCCGCCCCTAACCTAATACCGTAATCAATCACCCCCAATTAAACTTCGTGTCCCCTTCCGTCATCTTTATTTGCAGCAGCGGGCTTACATTTCTCCGAGTACAAAAGCAAATTGAAGGTGTGTTTGCTTCACTTCAAGAGTAATGTTGTAACCTGTTTGAAGTAATGTTTCCAAATTTGTGTTTATTATTAGTTACCGGTACTGGCAACTAGTAATATACATACTGTAGTAGTAAAATGATGTAACAACAGTGTAGCGATTTTATGGAATCATTCACTTTGTTGGAATTATATTTCAGTTTCAAATATTCGTTAATGTGGCTTCTTTATTTTGCAGCCGTACCTGTTAAACGATCCGGATAATCGGCTTGTTGAAGTGCCCTCCTCGTTCGGCGTCGGCACGGCAGACGGCTTGGCAAGATTATATGGTATATTAGCCAACGGGGAAGAACTAAATGGAAAGACGATTATGTCGGTAGGAGCTATTGAGAAGTTAAACAAGGGTGTCAGCAAAGGTTTTGACAAAAACAAATGCGATAGATAATGAGTGGGGCCCGGGAAGCGTGGGATGCGTATTTTTTTTCTGCAGTACACATAAGCAAATATATGTTTCTTTTAGCCAATCAGAATGTAGGAAGCCTAAAATGACGTCAGATAACTATTGAATAATTAATCAGCAGTGAGACTCGCTTC